GAAACCAGACCCTGCTAATCGTTGCAGAAAATAAGAGATTTTGAGGGTAAAAGACTTCATTATCTCATGGTGACTCTTTCTTCCCCTCCTTCTACTCCGAAGCTTATTTGTGGTGCACTGAAGGCAGCAGATGCAGCCTCACGCTTGTTCAAGAATCACATTTCATTTTGTCCACTCTGCAGTGTTCACCTTCGTGTTTGGTTTCCAATTTCCTCTGCTGTAATTGGAAAAAACGACACTTTCAGGAGATGGAGTGTTGTGTACCTGACTTCTAACACCACAGAAAAGTTTTCCTTGATGCCAGGACATTAGTAGATGTCTTCTCTTCCCATTTTCTTACTACATTTGTGTACTTCATACCACCTTCAGATATGGTTATGTGGCATCAGAGCATTTTGGAAATGTGGATTCTCCTCACGTTTGGTTCCAGACAGGTTTCTTATGCAAGATTAAGTCTGAGAGGTTTTGTTGGGGTTTTTTGGGGTTTTTTTTAAACTGCTCTAGCACCTTTGGGCTGCAAAAATACATCCTAGAAATGATAATTTCTTACTGATGCTATTGGTTCTAATAGATGTAGTTTTGCAGGGTGGTATCTTAGGTGGTTTGTTCTCTCCTGCTATAAAGCTGGGCTCAGTTTACATAATAGCAAAAAAAGACGCTTTCTTGAAAGTATACTGCTGAAATTCAGTGCACAGCTTTCATATCAGACTAAGGTCTGGCTTGTGCCATTGGCTCTGATGCTTTCAGAAATCCACTAACCCCTTATTTATATTTCATCCAGTGTTAAGTTAGTAAGCTAATTAGATTAGTAACTTTTCTTCTGTTCATGCTTTCTACATTGACTTTTAAATGTCAATGACTTTTTTTTACTTTGAAATTTTTTAAATGTACAGAACAGTCTATTTCATTTTTACTTCTTAAAAATCTACTTTTCTGTTCTTTTATGTGATTATCTCAGTATGAGAAGTTTCCAATCCTGCACGTTTAAAGCTGCGTTTTTAAAGCAAAGGAATGTAAAGAAATCTCAATCTTTTTACTGGATCTAAAACTACTATAAGCATATCTGTTTATAATACGTTCTGTAATAATCATGTGGGTAGATTAGGTTCAATGTACTGGTTTTATAAATTGACAGGATACCTTGAAAAGGAATCTATCAAACAGACTTTGAAGCTAAAGAGACACAAGACTCCTATGCCAAATCCAGTATTAGGAGACATGCTTCATTTCCACAGAATGCTTTAATCCAAGTTACTAATTTCTTTGAGGACTCACCGTGTGGAGTTCTGCATGATAAGTAGTATATAAAATATACTTATTTGAAAGGAGATTAATTCCACTTTAAGGCAATGTTTTGTAACCATGTCTTTCCCTTCAGTAAAGCAATTGATCAGTTTTTCCAAAGACTGTTAAATCCTGTTGAAGGTAAAATTAATTGTTCAAGTGAGAATTATTTTTTGCCCCTTACTAATTTTCCAAGGTTCAGGAAGCAAGAATCTAGTCTGTACTTATATGTAGAAATTTTCATCATACATGACAAATTAGATGTGTGAAGAGTTTTATTTTCATTTTTCAAATCACTCTTATCTAATTAGACACACTGTTGGAAGGTTTTAGAGTTCATACACTGTTTCTGATAACACGTGCCTGCTTCCATATCCATGTGGTCTCCACGGTGAAAGCTGGTGGCAGAGATGATGTGGTTTTGTCTGGGCAGGGAGGAGGCAGAAAGCTCTCTTGTCTCTGTCTACCACAAAGCAGTTTTTAGGACACAAATGGCTTTGGAATCCAAAAGACAGGACAGGGCCCCTGTGATCAAAGGATGCTTCCTGGTGAGAGTGTGCAGGGGGGGGGACGGGGGACAGGAGCCGGCGTGGATACCTTGTCTGCCCCTCCATGGCCCCAGGAAAAGGATGCTCTTCCTTCCAGCTGCAAAACCCTTTGTGCACACTTCATTTGTGGGCTATGGACATTCTGAACACTGGGGCCTCACACACTTGCAATTAAAATGTATAGCGCTCCAAACACTAGCTACTAATCCAGAGGTAGCTAGATGACTCGAGGGATTAGAAAAGGGACTTAAGAGTGACTTGCATAGCCACAGTGCTGTTTTGGGGCTTAGTTGAATTCCACAGAAATTAGTGAAATGTTTGAGTTCATAGGCTGAGTTCAGTTCTCCTGTTTTTGTGGGGAAAACATGAAAGGTCCAATATCAGCCTTTATTCCAAGATTTCTGAAATACAAGTGCTAAGAATATTTTGCACAAAAATAAGCAAGAGTCCACATCGAATTAAGATCTTCAAAAAGCTGTAGAAGAATGTTTTGTGGAATTGCTTCAAAATACTTGGTGATGTTGTTCATCCAGTTATAAAAGCACTGGTCATATGAGTCAGTTTTAGGCTTTAAATATCTCCAGCAAGCTGGAAAGTCTTCTGATCTGGGGTTTTAGATAAGCTTATCTCTATGGGGGAAAGGAGGGGTGTACTAACAAGTTTGAGTCAGGAGGAAAACCAGTTGTGTGCATCCTGGGGCTTTTTGTGCATTTCTCCTATTCATCTGACTGTCAGTTTGTTAAATGTTAATCATCTTCTGCAGGATAAAAATCAACATGTTTTCTACTCTGATATTTGACCTTTTAAACATTCAGTGGTTTTGATTCAGGATATACTCGTTATCTCTTCTCTTCCCAAGTTAGATTGAAAATGCAAAAAACTAATTGGAGAATAGATCAATAATGTCAGACTTTCACTCAACTAGCATACACTATAAGATACTGACTTATCTAAATCACTTTGGGTGATGGTTTTCTGGGAGACAAAGTGAGAAAAAAGGATTGCTAGTGAAAATGACTAAGAAAAGGAGATACAAAATCCAGATTAATATTTTTCTGTAATTTTATGTTATGATATTTGTGGAGCTAAAACCTGGGCTTCAGAATGAGATGGTAAGTAATAGAGAAATGAAATATGAGAAGAGTGAAATGTTTTGTGCTCCCTGAAGACATTTTATCATGTGAGATGAGGCCCCTCAGGAATGGATTTGCCTGTGACTTCTAAGAGATTAGGGATTCCAACCCAGGAAAATGGTGGATGACTTTAAAAAAAGAAGGTCATTTATGTTTGGTATTGGATTACCATACTACAAATCAGCATTCGTACCTGGGGCCTGCTATAAGTTTCTCTGAGCTGTTGGACAGGTGGTTCAATTTGCTGTGCTGTTCCATTTCTCATCTGTAAAGCAAGAATGAGAATGCATCCCGTCTCCTGCTCTCTTCTCTACGTCTATTGGTACCTGTCCAAAGGATCACATAAATCGTGCCTTGCTGTGTAGCTGTTTACTGACGGTAGGAAACCAACCTGAAACTCCTGGATGCCACCAGATATGAATAATAACATCGTCCTCTCTTACGATATTCAGCTCAGAGGACTGTCACTAGCAATTACATTCCACATTATATGTGAGGATGCCAAGACCCCCAGGGTATGCAGGGTTATCTAATTATTCTACTGTAAATAAAACCCGAGCACTGATTACTGGTATTTACATACTAATAACTAGGGTTTCTGGTTGGAATGAACAGAAATGTGTTTATCCATGGATGATTTTACTGGTCATGCATACAGTTTACAAATGACAATCTTTTGGCTGCAGATAGAAGTAAGAATCTGCTGAAATTCCGTCAGACATTATTTTTAGAATGACGGTGCCATTTCTTGCTTCTGGACATACCCTTATAACTGTGCTAGCTCCAGTGGAATAATGTAGTTACAGCAAGAGGCAGGATGTGGCTCCCAAGAACCTGTCTTCCATTTGTTAGTGTGTTCAGAGTAAAACAAAACCCGGGGTTGTAAGAAAATGACCTGTTAGGATCTTTTTTGAAATCTAGATGGCTCAGCATTTATGCAGTGCTTCACTTCTCCTCTCAGCCTCGTGAAATTAGAGGTTAAAATTTAGAGAAGTTAAAGCCTTCTGGAGCCCGAAGCTGGAAAGTCAAAGTACAGACAAATTCTCTGAACTCCCCAAGTCCTACCTAAACACTGACACAGCATCTGATTGACTCCACTGGATTCCTGCCCAGACACAGGAGGGATATACTAGTAGAATTATTTTCCTCTATGTGCTCTAGGCCATTTTATCCACTTTGCTGTTGATCAGTTTTGAGGTTGGGGCACTGGCCTGAGCAGACCTGTTAGTGTGACTCCAGGCTGTTCCTGCATTTTGAATAATCAGTAAAAATCATTGTTATTAATAGGAGGTAAACCAGATTTGCTTTACTATGTGGTATTTGTTGTATCAACTTGCTGTCTCTCCCACTGAAACTGTAAGAAAATATGATTGCTTAGGAATGGTAGACTATGTGCTGTCCTGGGACTGACTATGCTAGACCTTCTGTATTAGGACTGCAAATACCTGAAGCAGAAAAGCTGTATCTGAGTACCAGAGCGGCCGACTACTTTTACATTATCTGCCAGAAATTCGGTTCTGGCATCAGGTGCTGCAAGGCCTTCCCTGTGAGCAGAGAGGATTTGAATCGCGTGCGCAAGCAGTCAGCACTGCACACTGAGGTGTGAAGTGCAAAAAGGACTGCTGATGTTACTCAGGGGCTCGGGGGGAGATGCACATAGGGTGCAAGCAGCAAATGAGAAATAGTTCTGTAACACTCTTTGAGTAACCATTTTCGGTTGTCCTTTTAAATTAATGCCGTTTCCCTTAAATGACACTGCCTTTGTTAAAAGATCAAGAAGAACTCTTTTCTAATACAATTTTTGATACATTAAATTACTTTTATCCCTGCAGTTGCTTTGTCCTCAGACTATCCTTTTGATTTAAGTGTATTTTTTTTTTCTGTGGCTGAACTGCATTGCACTGGCAATATACTAGTTTGGGAAGTCCTTGCACATGTTTGGTCTGGATTTTTCTGTGTCATGAGTGAATTGGCAGCTGCAAAGTCTGTCAACCAATTTCCATGTCAGTGAACTAACATAATAATGTGTTTGCAGGGTCAAGCTGTTGCTCAGCTCTGTTCAACTATTCCCAATGTTACTGTTTTTGGAACAGCTTCATCTTTCAAACATGAAGCAATCAAAGACTCAGTAACTCACCTGTTTGACAGAAATGCAGACTATGTTCAAGAAGTAAAAAGGTAATCTTTTATTTTCCTGAGTAAGGGTTTTACAGTATCTGGCAAAATACTATGAAAGGCACTGGGCTGATCGTATTTCTGGGAAGAGATTACATTTGTGAATTTGGAATCTGTAGCTTATTGCATTACTCCATTTGCCCACTACAAGGGACAAGGTAGCAAGCATCTCCCTATTTCTTTATAAGCAACGTAAGATTTGTTAGTCCATGTTCATACTTGGACATCTGTTGTGAGCAAAGTAAATAAAGTGAAAAAGAATAAAGGTCTTAACAGAAGAATGTACTTTGATATTTGCCTAGGTAGTAGCTCACTAATGCGCCAAGTAAGATATTTTCAGTGGATCTGTAAGTTATCCAGGTTTTGGAGTTCTCTGGTGTTTTTCTACCTGCCTGGGTTTTTATCCTGTGCCAGGGGTTGATATCAGAGCACATGATGTCTGTTTTAATTTCAGACCCTTAGATTTTTGTTTGTTTGCGTTCAGATTAGAATCATCCTGTTGCCTTTTGAAGTCATCATGTGTGTTTCTATTTACATGCTTTCAAATACTTTGTTTTCCAATTTGTCTGCTTTTAGATATTGATGTTGATACAGGCAGCAAAACTTTAGAATTGATAAGAAAATATTAATAAAAAAAGTTTTTGATTTTACTTGTCAGACAGATAAGAATAATGTTTTCCCTTCATCTTGTGTCTGTCAAAATACTAGATTATGTAGCTGGGCATAAACCAAGAAATTTCTCTAAGGGGCACCCCAAGGTAGTACAGTTGTCAGGCTTCCTGTCAGACTTAACGCATTCCTCAGAGTGCCATGCAAAGCCTCAGAAGGTCTCTTGCTGCGAGGGTTACAAGCCCTCAAAGAGGCCCTTCAGTGTATAGCAGGCTTTTGTCTGAGCTGTTAGCAATCCAGACTGGCCTTGGAGGAGAAAGCAGGGTGTCTTGCTGCTGTTTCTGGAGCGCTCCCAAGGGCTGAAGAGAACATTTGAAACAATCCATCACAAAAGACGTTTTATATCAAAGGAAAATTTTTCTGTATTGGTAGTTTCACCAAAAAAGGTAGGACTTGTCCAGCAGATGACACCCGTACCATTTTCTTACAGCTCAGAAGAATTGCAGTACATTTTTCAGCCCTTTGATAGCCTCTCTCTTGGGGAAGTACACATACCTAAGTGTTTTGCTGCCCCTGGAAAATTGCTGTAGTGAGATGAAGACTGCATTCTAGCAATCCCCACTTTACAAACATTGATTCAGCAAGAAAGAACACTTGAAAACATTCATCAGAGTTCAGCACCAGCCTTAATCCTAACTCTTGGCAGGGGCAGCAGAAGATCTGACCTAAGCGGGTATGTGATGTGGGAGCAGATACAACAGAAATCAGTGCTTAAAAAAGGGATAAAGCCCCTTTACCTTCTGATAACTTTATGATTGCAGATAATGTTGGCTGCTTCTGCCCTTCATCAGGTCAGTTCTTTTTGGGACAGCTCCTGACACCACCCCTGACTGTGTAACAGACCATAACTACTGAAATCAAAAGGAGACCTGGTTACGAAGGGGTAGAATTCTGCTCTGTTAAGTCTGTTAAAATCCCTCTGGGTGATCCTGCATTTTCACATACTTTTTCACCTTGCAATAGACTAACGAGGCAGAGAACCAGTGGGTACAAATGATAAAATGTAGATGCAACAAGCTGTTTGTGCTTTTTTCCTGGTGTAGAGGTGCATAGTATTAGCACAATTGATAGTCCTGACTGAAAGTCAGAATTGACACCCTGTAGAACACGCTAATACTCTGATTTGTTGCTCAGATCCATGTATTTTCCCTTTGCATTGAAAAAAATAAAAAAGTACAGTGGTAATCTTGAGAACACAAGACAAATTGCTGTTTGAAAGAGGTAGTGGGGGGAACAGTGTGGTTGTTTGATTTGCTGGATATTAGCTGTATACTGTGTTCTACTTAACATGTTTGGCTGGCCAGCAGGGAGACAGCCAGTCTGCATTTGCCTGCTGCACGCTGGGTCAGGGGGAGTCCTAAGGGAAGGGGAGGGCCCTTCATTTGTTGAGAATTTGTGAGCATGAAAGGGTGGGTCCGTGGCTGAGAACCTGCTTTGTTGCAGGTGACTGGGGTCTTCCAGGGAAGAGCCTTCATCAGGGAGCAAAGTCCTTCCCCCCAAAAAAACCAAAACAAAACCCCCCAAAACCCCAAACAAATGAACAAACGAAAAAAAACCCGAAAACAACCAAAACCAGAGGTGGTATGAGCATGGAAATGTTCTTGGGGGATGAGAAATCAGTTCAACCGTGGAAGCCTCCGAAAGCTGTTAGATTGCAAAGCCATTATTCATTTACACTGAAAGCTCATCCAGTGGCCTGAACATAAACAACTTATTAGGATGTCTGAGTATCACCTTTGTCTTGTGAGGAAACAGAAAGATGCATTACAAGCTATAAAGCTTTACCTCTTTCCTGACTTTTAATTGCAGTTATGCCACCGCAGAAGGCATGGTCATCAGGAGCTAATTGATGTTCCTGGGGATTAGATAGTATTGACTGCCCCTTCAACCTTTGATAGTCTCCAGGTTGCAATTTTCTTGTAGTGTCTGCACCAGTTATTTGCATAATTGTTTAAGAGTATTAGTCAAGAATTTCCTCTTGCTTGGGCTGTTTACTTGGTTAGGAGGTAGGATGTTAGACTTAGATCAAACCAGTGCCAGAAAAGAACAACTAAATCAGGATGTTGGGTGTATTTTTTTTCTTTTTCTTCAGCATCATATTGGCATTGCATTCATAAAACTATTTATTGGAAAATTAGAAATATGCAAACTATTTATTGAAACAGTATAAATACTTTCTGCTTTCTATAATATGGCCCTGAACTGGCTTTCTAGCTCCTGGTGACTTGATTTAACTCTTTGCTGACATCTAGTTGATACAAAGTCTAAAACAGAAGACTTAAAATAACTTTACAAGGACATAATTTTATCTGAGAAGAACTAGGATAAGAAGAGCTGTTTCCTTACGAATTCAGAAAAAGTTGTGAATAACAAAAAACATCCTTTTTCTCTATGACATTCACTGACCAAAAAAAGACATTCTCTGACATTTGCATTCACTCCACAAGAACTTTATATCTATCACCTGGTTTTGATAATGTAATTTTACTGAAAGCCCTCAAAAAGATAGTTCCCTGCTCTCCTAAGCCTGAAAGGCGTGGGTTGGCTAGCCCAACAAACTTTCATTCCAGCACTGAATGAGGTTGAATTTTCTTTTGATGAAGAGAAAGTTTTCATGTAATCAAAGCCTCAGTCCTTCCTAAAGTACCTGGAAAATGTTAACGTTATGTTAACAGTCAGCCTGTATCTTGCTGGCTGATCACTCCTGTGGATATTATTGCAAAGTGCGGTTTCTTTCTTGCTTTTTAGAATCTCAACAGATGGAGTAGATATTGTTTTGGACTGTCTTTGTGGAGAAAACACTGGGAAAGGCCTCAGTCTTCTCAAACCACTTGGGACGTACATTTTATATGGTGAGTGGAAAAAGCCAGGTACATATTTAAAAACTGAAGCTTTGCAAAGCTTAAAATCTCTTAAAATCACCCATGCCCCTCCTTCCAGAACTGGAGGCTGCTATGTTGTACTTTCTCAATTTAACCATTTCCAACCAAGGGTTTTAGTGAAGCTGGGCATAGACTGAATTACTGAGCAACGGTAGGTAATACAAAGAAACTCTTAAAAGAAACTAAAAAAAAAAAATAATCCAAAAGTGAAACTGAACATAGGTTTCAGATTGTTAAACGTTATTGGGTGATACAGGAGAAGTGTAGGAGACAGCTTGGGTCTCTCATTCTACACACCATAGGAATCACCATGTGGCCAAGGAAACTGTACTATAGTTCTTGTGGGAGGGAAGCTTGAAGGAAGGTTTCAGGAAGAATGCTATTGTTTTTATTTGATGTGACTTTAAGGAATTCAAGCCCAGGCTTCTGTTCACAAATTTCCATTCGTGTACACGGGCTGCTTCACATACCAAATAAACATGCCTGTCCTGCAGTTCTGCCAGGTTGCCATGTTGTGCGTTGATAAAGCAGGCCAAGCTTCTGTAGGAGGGCAGCTGAAGGGATTGCTAAACCTTTGAAATGAAGAATATATCTGTATTGCAGTGGAAGGTGCAATGGCATCATGGATAAGCATACCTGCTTCCTTGGGCTTTCATCTAGCTAGCAGGGTGGCTGTAACGAACGTGTTGTCACCCAGACATCTGCTTGGACTATACAAGCCAACCTGGTTGCCTGTTTGTAACGAAGTCCCTGCCAGTGAATTGTCGTTACAGTTGTTAACAGGTTATAGTAACAGTGCATGTGTGTTCACACATGTAGTGCTCAGATAAATGTATCTTTACAGATACAGAGAAAGCACACCTGTGTGGTGGTCATTGCTAAATAATAGTGTGTCGGAGACAAATGCCATTTTACTGCAGAGGAGGGGAGAGCTATACAAGAGTTTTGGTGTCAAGATGCCTAGTGGCACTTAACTTGTTACTGGTTTTGGAAGATTTGATGGATTGTTTTTGTTATCTCAGAATACCTATAAATTTGTAGGGCTCAGTCGCCTTGGCCTCCCTGTTACTTATGCCCAAAGTATAAGGATGTCTACTAATGCCTTTTAAAGCTGGGGATTTTTTTTTTTTCTTAAATATGAATCATGGATATGATATTACATATAATAAACGGTCTGCTTGTCAGCATGTAATAAGTTGTATGTGGATGTACTCATCTTTTACAGGCTCATCTAACATGGTTACTGGGGAGACAAAAAGCTTCTTCAGTTTTGCAAAATCAGTAAGTGTCCCAGTGCAGTGATTCTGCACTTTCCTCTAACTTCAGCCTTTTCTGTAGCATTTTCATCTTTCTCATTCTCATTTATCTCTACTAAGTTGTTACTTCTGATGCTGCTAAAGAGAGTTTTTCTGACTGCAGTGTGGTCTGTCGTGTTTTCTTCTGATATGACAGCTAGACAGGAATTGGGTCTGTGTGCAGTGCATATTTGAATTGTTAGCTATCCGACGTATATCTCTTACGCAGCTAAGTTTAAAGTTAGACTGCATTATTTATTTACTTACGGCAGAGTATCATACCCATGGATATGGATAACTGTACCCTGTGGCCTTCTCATATCTGAAAACAGTCAGGACTGTGTAGTGAATTAAAGGAGATGTATCTCTTAAGCTGGGGCTTGTGTCCAGTCATTTCCAGCTTTTCAGAAGTTAGTTCCATGTAGAAATGCATTTTTCAGTTCTCCATGTTAATTTCAAGTGACATCAAAGAGATGATGATGTTGCATTTGTTTCCAAATTGATGATGTCAACAAATCCAAAATTCAAATGTTACATTTTCTTTTTTCTTTGGCTTACTACAACAAAAATCTGCTCAGAAATCCTAGAGATCGAAAAGGGGACAAATATATCAAATAAACTGCTAGCAAGAAATAAGTTAACCAGGAGTGAAAGTGATTCCTTCAAACAAGAAGAACAGAGGGAGAAGCCTTGACTGAAGATCTATCATATGCTCTTTCTGCCAAGAGCTCATTTACAGCTTCCAGCAACAACCCCTTCCCAGGAGAAATTAGCTTCAGAAGTCTCTATGTAGTTGAAAACAAGATAAATCAAAGACTACAGCAAGAAGCTATTCTTTGCCTCCTGCATTTTCTTGATGGTTGTAGTGGCACGATCTTTGTTATTGTCATGCGTTTGCGAACTAAAACAAGATAATCTTTATAATGCAGCCTTTTTACTGTTAATATAAACATACCCAGATGCATATAATTTGTAGGGCAGGTTGGCCCAGTGAAATAAATTTCAACTTAAATGCTTTTCAGATAGTGCTGGTATTTATTAACTCAATAAATATTAATAAATTGAATTAATAAAAATAGCATATTGAATTTTGTATAAAAGTATAACTAGTTTCTTTATGTAATTATACTGCAAAATTAACTCATAAAAATTGTATGAAAATTTTAATTAAAAATTGACCCATTCAAATAAAACTTGCTAGGAAGTGGGATCTCAGTCTCAAGGATGCTCTTGGACTAAATGAGATAAAATAATTTCATTAGATGTTATGAGGCTTGCTCAAATATCACAAACATAATAATGGGTGAAAAGTAAATGGAAGCTGATAAGCAGCGTGTGGTTTCCTTGGTTTTGAGAGAAAAGTCAAGAGCTGCTTGCAGACATTTGGGAAGCTTGCATGGCTCTCTTGAGATAACAAAGAAGGATAGCAGAAGTAAGGGAGGGAGGTCCAAATCCCTGACTTCTAGACCCACGTCCTAAAACTAGATCTGTTCACCGTTCTTCTAACACCCTAATCTCATGCAACACAAGTCTGTTTTATTTCCGCATGTCAGCATACATTTTTTGCCTCTTTAAATAAAATCCTTACTGCTTCTCTTGGCTGTTGCTTGAGATGTGACAGATGAGTCGTGTATCACATCTGCCCAGACATTTTTGTGAACTTCCCTGTACATTTCTTGAAAAATGTTTTTCTAACCCTGCTGTTATTTATTGCTTTCCAGTGGTGGCAGGTTGAGAAAGTAAATCCCATCAAGCTGTATGAGGAGAACAAAGTCATTGCTGGATTTTCCCTGTTGAATCTACTTTTCAAACAGAATCGAGGTGGCCTGATCAAGGTTGTGATGGACAAACTCCTAAATCTATACAACAATAAGAAGATCAAGCCAGTGGTTGATTCATTATGGGCTTTGGAAGAGGTAGGAGCAAAATTTCTTTCCCCACTGTGAAATTTCTGAAATACATGCACTTTTAGATGTAAAATTAGATTTAAATATGTTTTCTAGTTATTACTGTATTCTGCTTTTTAATTTGTGCACAAGTTCTCTCCAAAGCCCCTGCTATTCAGAAACTCCATGAGCCAGAGTTATCCATACATTTCTCTAATAAATATTTCTGGAGTTTCAAATGCTCTGTGGAAAGTTCTTGAAAATACTAATAATAAATGCAGTTTTTCAATCTTAGAAAATTGTTTCTGTTTCCTAAGTGCATGAAACATGGGACTAACAAATGCAACATGAAATGCAGCTATTATAATTGAAAACAACTTAAAATCTATTATGAGGAAAAGGTCTAATACATAAGCTTTAGTTTCAGTGTTATATTTGTGCTAACAAACCTTGGAAGCTTGGAGGTTTTCAGGAAGTTACTGAAAACCTCCATCACTTGCAGTCAAATCAGAAATCACTTTTAATATAAGTTACATTTGTGAAGTGTGGGGTTTTTGGTTCTTTTTTTCCTTCTAATTGCTCAGCTCTCCTTAAAGACATGTAAAGAAACTAATCTGATCATAGCCTGGGCAATTATAAGCCCCTTGACCACAGCACTGTTTCTGAGACCTTTATACTTAAGATGCTGATAAATGAACTTAAGTATTTTTGGAGGCGTGAACAGACATTAACATATTAAGAAACAGCACGGTTATAGTAGCACCGCCAGGTTAATATTTGTGTTTTATGCGTTTGTGAAGTGCACTGAGCCTGACACATCACTCAAGATGGGCGATCTGTAAGAGCTCTGCTGAATGTGGGTTGTGGTTGTATTGCTGTATGGTTGCTGTTCAGAAGGTGCTGTGACAAAATTCTGTCTTGTGTCTGAACACATTAGCTGCTATTACCATGCATCCATGAGGAAGTAGTAACCATCAGACTTAATGCATTAATAATACTGTATTTTATTAAGATTTTGAATGCCCTATGGGCAGGGTTTTCTGCCCAGCACATTGTTTGTTATTCAAGCGACACTATAGTACTACCATTGTCGTGGACACGGGTAAGAGACCTTGAGTTGCGTGGTGGGACTCCACAGCCTGTGACAGTTCCTGGAGCAGGATGCAGTGCATGGGGCTTGTACGTGCCTGGGCCAGGTTATATGACAAGGCGTGTACTGCCTTAGGCTGTGCTCATGGGGGAACTATATGTCGCTTTGCACTATCACTACATCTGCCCCAGTGTGCCCCAACACACCACTTCTTGTGGTACAGCAGATCCAAACAGTCCAGCATGATATGGGCTCCATTTGCTCCTCTCCAGCCAAACAGAGAGGAATGACAACTTCCCCAGGAATCTCTTTCTGTTTCTCTAAAATGTCTACGTGAGGCCACACTGTCACTGACAGCAACTCAGTAACACCTCGGGGCTTTACCAGCCAGTGGCACAGGAGTGGCCAGCTCTCACGGGGGGGCCAGCTCCCACTGAACCACTTCAGGGGAATCAGGTGTTGTGATAAAGAGCCGCTGGCTCAGGTAAGACAAAATCCTCTGCTATTGTGTGACAGGGAAAGCCCTTTGAAGAGCAGTGTAAAACAGAAACGGGGTCAGATTTAGGTTTTGATGTGGGGTTTTTTTTATTTAATTATTAAATAAGCTTATAAAGTATTTAAAAAATTTAAGTGGCACAGGTCTCTAGATAGGAATTCTGCAATTTCTTTGTTTATGTAAATATGTACTTTTCATGTATTGGTGAGTAAGAAAAGGATGATTAAAATAGTAACAATAGCTTAAAAATTCTTCATCAAGGACACAACATGAAAGATTATACGTGGAATGCTGATTGTAGTAGTCAACATGATGGGAATTTGTTGGGAGACTTCTGTTTGATAACATTTCATCTAACATTTGGCAGTAACACGCACCATCCCTACCGGTAGATTGTGAAATGTGTAAATACATCTGTTAAAAAGCACAGTGAGGAAAACTGCAGCTCATTTATCATGCCTGCTCTCTGGTAATTTACAAAGGAAATGCCTGGCTAGTATCTTCAGGGGTATAACAGTGCTAGAGATGTCCTTAATCGATTGCAAAGTATTACTGAAATATAACTCATTCAGGGCATTATTATTTTGCGGGTACATTTTTGTGGGTATAAAATTAACTTGGGGCTGACTCAAGTTAGTATGATACAGAGAAAAGGTATCATAGTGGAGGACTAAATGGAACCAGACTGAAGAAATGTTGGTATGTATTTCTGTTCTGTTTTGGGAAGTTTCTTTTTTTAACTCCACAGCTTTAACATCTCCCGCCTTCAGACTTTGACAGTTGATTGCTTTTCATCTCCTATTAAGCCTGATTTTCTCCAAATGTCCACTTTCATTTGACCCTTCTCAGTAGTCTTTGTTAGGGAGTAAACCAATATGACCAGTTTTTACCGTTGATGTTTCCTGAGGAAATTTCCTGACCTGTAAGAGCATTGAGAATAAATATGTTTAACTAGAGTGGCAGAATGGTGGACTCCCTGCATGGCATTTGAAAACAAATGATTGAATAGTCTTTTATGAAAGAATATCACCCTCTCCAGAGGCTCACAGTAGAATCCATTTGTCCTCTGACTAGTAATTCTGCCATAGAGTGAGCTTGAATCCAGTAAATGACAGTCAAAATAAAAATATTTTAATTAAAAGTCTTAGAGGAGCCTTAACCATGGGACACCTTCCCAAATGTTTAATGTTGGGAATGTATTATCACATACATAAAAGTTTTGATCTATACATGAAAGGCATATCCCCAACATAGCGCTTCAGCTTGCTTTGTTCACTTTGCATCTGCATTTGTTTTCATGTATTCCTTCTTTGTGCAAATGTCAATGCACAAATGCAGATTCTCTAAAGCCAACGTGGAAGACACCCGGTTTTCTTCCAGAACTGTATTACAGTACAAATACTTTCCTTTTCAATCCTGTATTGGTTGCAACAGCCATCTGTGTATTAGAGCTGAAAAGCATCTTTGCAGTCTTAGAAGACAATGAGTTACATCTGCAGTAGTGTTCCCCTTTGCTGCTTAAGGCTGGTCGCTACAGGACCACTTCCTTGCATGAGGACCCTAAAATTGAGGGCTTTGTGTTCTAGTGCTTGTAGCCAGAGAAATGTTTCGTGTCTGTTTTAATAGGTTTCAGTGAACTGTGTAAAAAAGATTTCATTGTTCTAAAAGCCTGGTATGGTTCCCTGAACAGCATTTATTTCTTAATACTTTCTGCAGGAGTACACAGTTTGAATTTAAAAGAATATACTGATTAAAGAATATTGTAATTGCAGTGAGATTTTGCTCTTTAAAGTGTTTCAAGTGGCAGTAATACAGGGCTTAGAGAAAGTTGTTAGATTCCTATTTGTCTATCACATAGTGTATGTTAAGCGATGTGTAGTTGATTGTCGAATAATATTCAAGATAGCAGCATTCAAAAATTATTTAGACAGACTTAGCTTGATACTGTTCCTGTTGAACGCTGAAGGTTTGTCTGAGTGTCAATGAGATCATTCTAATTAGGATATAATCCCTTCTGGTGTTCTGATTTCTCTGTTTTGGGGCCTCATCCAAAGGCCATGGAAGTCAGTAGAAGCACTCCTAGTTTCGCTGGCCTTTGTTTTAGGATGAGGGTTGCCCTGCCTCTTCAGTACAGGCTGCTTAAATGAATTTACCGACTGACTGAAGAGAGAGTGGAACAGAACTTATTCTGAATTGAAACTTAGAAGTTACTTCATTTTCTTTAGTGCATCAGACTATTGCTGACACAGGGAGACCAGGATCTAAACTATTGACTACTGATGTGGAGCAAAACTACTTGTATTGCTGTGGTATCTGCTGGTGTTGGCTTCGGAAGGGTAATTTTTATCTCAAATTTACATCCATAAATTCGAGTAAAGTCAAGTCAGTTCTCAAGTAGGCCATTAGAGCCATTTTCTGATGTTGATGTAAGAGAGATTTAACTAAGAGAGACAGTAACAAAACCCATAGATTCTTTAAAATGGAAATCTAACTGGGGAGTTATTCATCATGAGATGAGTGAAGTCGTACAATAAATTAGCTGCTGTTGAGATGTCTCGCTATTTTGCAGCTATTTGTTTCTGCGTTCAAGTGTTTAAAGGACGAGATAATTTGTAGATGGTGCCTGCTTAAAATGCTGTTCTGTAGTAAAAAGGTGATTGGTAAGATTACATTTCATTACAAATAGAGTTTAAAACAGAATTAGTATTTGGTGAATATTTGTTGAGCTTTGTGGTTGTTTCTTTGTTAGTAACTACTTATCTAAGCCTTAATTTGCAATTAGTCACTCTTCTTCGTTCTGATTAATTTGTAGTGTGCATTTATGCATTAGAACTCTCCTGAGGGTCTGTGAATCTTCAGCTTTACACAGTAGATGATTCTAGATTATTAAGCAGGATGAAAACCGAAGGTTCTCAAAAAATCTAGAGATTTTTTGTTGAACAAAGATGTACATACTGCACTTTTCTATTAAAGTTGTGTTTTGTTCAGCTTTTTATAACTGCAAACAAAAATACTCAAGGTAGAAGAGGTTATTGACATAGAAGTTTTATGTACCTTCTTTGCAGCAGTTAACTATCGAAAGTAGTACGGATAGCATGTAAAGCAAAACTCACAAATTCTTGCACATGAACTGCCAGTCAGGAAAGTGACAGTGCAAAATATGGTCCATGTCATCAAAATACCTGTGGGACCCTTTCCCTCACGCCAGGCTACCTGGTTCAGAAAGGACTCTCAGTATGTCAGAAAGTTTTCAGGCTCGGGCTGTTTTGGTCCATATGGGTGACCGGTTAGATTATGGAAGAACATCCTGACTACAGATCTGTGTTGTGTACCAGAGGATTCATTGCTTTCTTGTCTCCCAAATGATTTAAAGGAGTGCACTGTTACATAGTAATAACGGTATCCAAGACCTGTACTGCCTTAGGGCTGGTAAGAATGATGAAG